ACACTGTGTATGCTCAGGTTAACAGGTCGTCAGATGACGGCAGCAGGCTTAACAGAAGCAGACGCACAGCTCACATGGACCCTGTGAAATTTAAATACAAAATGTGTGAATCTTATTGGATACTGAGGACCTGAGGTTGATCAAGGCTGTGTTATCAGAGCTTCTCAGCAAAAAACATGTAGTCAATCATCAAGTAATGAGCCATCTTTTCAGATTCAAGCAGCGTAAGGCAATTCATGCAATAATTAATTACAAGCTTTATCTAGCAGCAGTTTCCAAGAAAGACAGCGGCACAGGACAACATGACGCACCTACTCAACAACCTGAAGCGCACAGAATACAGTCTGGAAAATTCAATATAAAAATTGAATCGATTTTTGTGCACGTACAAGAGAATGCAGAGTATTACAAACAGCACGCTTTTGATTGTTAGATCCATGCAACATACAGCTTTACACTCATCTACAGAAATTAGTCATATGTATGTCTCAATTTTATATATATATATATATATATATATATATATATGTATGCATGTATAGAAAAATGTGCAAAGTAATTAATAACCATTGAATCATATTTAAGCCAGTCTAAATCAGACGAGGAGAACGATAAAAGACAGGAACTTAAAAGGTGAGAGCAATAAGTGACAAAATATGCACTAAAATTGAAAATATGAAACTAAAATTGTAAAAATATATGCAATGCATTACAGATCGTGCAGAAGATGATAAGCATTACTTCACACCAGAATACAGTCTTGTGCTACATATTTCTAAGCATATCCGCTAAAATGTTTTCTCAATAATTAGCCAAAACTGTAAAACCCATTCAGTATAGCCAATGTATGACACAGAGAATGCAGGGGTCAGGTTAGAGCTGACGACCCCTCGGGGTGATGTGGCAGGTGACTCAACCATCAGTAGATATATGTGCTCACATCATCCTCACTGCAGAGCTCGTATTAATGATACAGTACGGCTGCATACCAACAAGGTTAACACCTATCAGCTGAACCTACTGTACATCCGCTGCATGCAAACCATTTCCTTTGTGTAAGGGAAATTCAAAATGTTGACAAATTTAAGTCAAAATTCAGCACACTGAATGCTAACACGTATAAATACCACTGTGAACAAATAGTACACTGGACGTGTGATTAAAAAAAGCTATGTCAAATAGGCCTTGAGTATAAGTCAAATACTAGGCTCATATTCATGTATGACTCATACCATGATCTTCAGTTACAACCTGAATGCCAATAGCTGACTTTGTGCCACTGTAACTGAGCTACATTCGTTTTTCATCCAACTAAACCAAAGTGTGAAAGAGAAAGCTTCCTTTATTTAATTTCATTTTAAACAACTACAAGGATTTCATGAGGATGAGTCTTTCCAATCCGTGACATAAATCCCCATCATCTGTCAACATCCATCCACATATGAAAACCATCCCGGTGGCTACATTACCAAACAACTAAGCCTCTGTAAAGGCTAAAAACCTGTGGGTCAGTGCGAGTTCATCTGTGCTGCTACATCACCAACACAGTCAGGAAAATATATATTTTTTTAAAAATACACAAGAAGCTAATCGTTTTGCTCAGGATGACATATGTGTGTTTTTGCACCTTTTTCCTGATCTGCCCTTCTCTGAAGGACACAGGGATTGATTGGCCAGCCCTGAGTCACCTGTTAGTCAAGGACGCTGGTCAACTTTAACCTTTATCACCCAGACTCAACTGAGCAGAGGTAAAGCCACTCAGAATAAGGGATGATGCAGGTACAGATGTGCTGGGCCTGAGAGAAAATGTTCCTTTAGGATTTTGTGATTAGCTGCTGGAAGAATCCTATTTTAGGCTGCAAACCAGGCTTTTCCCTGATTTATTCCACCATCACATCTTGTACTTGGCTCTAAGGGTGTAAATGTCTGGATCCTGAATAGTCTTTGGTGCAGCTCCAATGCAGCAAATTTACACAATTAGTGTAATTATTCAAACACAATGATACTCATCACCAAGGTGGTTGTCATTACAAAAGCTCCAGAGTATTTTTATCCAGCTCTTTATATCTTCTAATAACCTTGAATGTTTTTCAGCCTGTGGTTACAAATAGTCTTTCTGTACATTTAGCCGTCACATAAAATATACTGGTTCAACTCTTATTCCTGTTTTAACTCTACATATAGATCACGGGCTGACAGATATTTCAGGTCACTAGAGCTGCCTCTTTTGTATGAATTAACTTTCAACCCCAGCACAACAGTCAGACCCATGCCGTCACACAAACACCAGATATACAAAACAGGCAGTTGTACACTACCCTGCTGGGTTATTTATTCTCTAGCAGCCTCACACAGAAGCCAATGATTTTCTTTTCAGCTACAACGAAAAGCAGGTTATTTCTCCATCTCCCTATTAATCATAAACGTTAAAGTTGACGTTTCAACTTTAAAGACATGCTTACAGTATTTTGTGTCTACTTCTAATTTCATTTCTTTTCTCCCTATGGACTAGGAGTGTAGAAAATGACTGATAAAGACAACTCGTCTAGGCCAAAAGTAAGAAACACAATCAAAAAAAAACAATTTGTAGTGAAAATTGAGCACAATTTAAGACCACAGTATCTGCAGTTCCCCTCATACGTTTGCCAAGTGTGGCTAAGCCTAGCAGTGCTAGCACCAGTAGACTTCTTTCCTCGGAGATTACTGTCCACATGCCTGAGCTGAATGTGGTTAGGCATCGCTCCGCTCAAGTCAACATACGACCTTATTTTCCTTTTCTAGATCAAACTGCTGCCAAACCACGCTGGTTTTACAAGATGTCATCTGTCCCACTTTCCACCTTGCTGGTTTACAACATCTGGGCATTAGCACGGGTGGGGGTGGGGGGTTGGCTTAGTGGTGGGTGGCTGGATAATATCTTGAATACAACAGTAAACAGTCATTGTTCATTAATAAAGTATAAAAGATAGTTTAACCAGTTCATTTCTGTTGCAGAGCAAAGATAGCAGTTTTTAATAGTTTTCTCGTCCACAGACTAATCTGTGGAAAAGACCGAACTTAATATTTACAGGTACAGAAACACTGGAGGTCTGCTTGGATCATTCTTTACATTTTACTTTTCTAACTAAATGTGTCTTCTCACGTTGGAAAAACGATCACACGTCGATTCTAAAGTATCTAGCACATCGAGCATTTTTCTTAAAATAACTTTGCTTTTGTTTTAAACCAGGGAGTGGATTTGTCTCTGATTAGTCATGAAAAAGTGAAATCTGCTGGTTTTGAAATCTAGCAGTGATGAGTAAGACTGAGTTAAGGACTTTCATGTTTAATTCAAAATATCCCAAAAGAGATGCCTCAACATTGCAGCTCCATTTCAACAATAATAATATGAAATAAAAGTTATGTGCTGCTGTTGCAATGGAACCAGAGATATACTGATGGCATAGAGTTTGACATATTCGTTGACCATTTAACTGAGATACTCAGATTGACTCTGGGGTTCCTGCAAGAAACTGCACAGACTCTCTTACACGCTTTTACCCAGTTCACCAGCATTTCAAAGGTCAAAGAGCTGAAATCACAGTCACACAGCTGGTAACACTGTGATGTTAGTTAGTTGTGCTTGTGAACAATTTAATTTAATTCAAACACATCAGTTACTGTAGCTGCTCACAAAACCAGACTCACAACCATGTCCTACTGATACTTCAGTATAGTCACATTTACGTTGTGTTGAGCATGTGATTGTCTTTCTGTCCATGTCTTCCATTGCCTATGTGTTGTCTGTGCAGAGAAACGAAAGCTTCAGGATTTGGTATAAAGACGTGTCCATTATTCTATATTCAAAACTGAAAATAATAACTGAAGTTCACGCTTTTTCGTATTGACGGTGACACTTTAACATCTTAGTAACTTAAGACGCAGCTCATTATAGCTCTTTACACCTCACTGTTTACCTACTTCATGGGTTAATCAGTACATGAGTTTGATGACCTCAGTTTGCAACCATCCGACCTGAACCTGAGCAGATACCTTGTTGGTTACAACAACAACAACAACAAACTCTTCAATGAGCCTCGCCTCCTGCTGTGAGGGCACTTCAGTCATAAAGGTCAAACCGTGGTGTCTTCAGGGTTCAGCTCCTGACAGCATCTCTCCTGACACATCTACAGGTGTCCACGTGAACAACACCGATCTGTCAGCGGCCACACACAGTGAGTGAACGCGTAGTAAAGCAGATCGGCAGCGTCTTTAGGAACAACAAGAACTAAAAGCTGACATTCACTCGTCCTCATGTCTCAAGACACACACACACACACACACACACACACACAGACACGGTGGGATCTCCAGCAGCCACACATCTTCCTCTGGAGTAAACATTAGTCATCAGTGAACCAGCTAACGCTGCTGCACATGACAAAGACACGCCAGGTGTCTGCTGACCTGAACTAACATGCTCCCGAGGCAGAACGGCCCCGTCCGGGTGACACAAGACAACGGCGTAGCCCACCTAGCTGCAACTGTTACACACACACACACACACACACATACATACGAGGCCTTGTCTGCTAGCACAGCAGCTAGCTTGTTAGCTTAGCGACTGTGCGAAACAAGCTAGCAAACAGATGCGTTAAAACTGTTTGGGTTTTTTTTTGTTTTTTTTCCCGAACACAGTGAAACCTCCGTGTTTGCTCGACGTCAGCGTGACTGCAGCCCGCGGGTACGCGTGCGTTTTTCTTTTCTTTTCTTTTTTTAAACATGCCAATGACAACAAACCAGCTAGCGACACGGCTTAGCTAGCTAGCTAGCTTCTCCCCTCCTCCTCCTCCTCCTCCTCCTGACAAGCTCGGCTAGCTAACAGCCAACATTAGCAGCGCGCTAACGAAGGAAGCTAATGCCTGCTGTTGTTTCCCCCCCTTCAACACACACACACACACACTGACACACACACACACGCGAAAATCTGGTGTTTCTGCCGCCGCGACACACCCGCTTACCTCGGACGAAATATCCCTCAGCTCACTGCAGGAGAAGCGCCGGCTGTTTGGCGAGGAAACGTCCACACGACCCGTGTTTATCGTCTTTCATTCGTTAGCTGGATCCTCTCGCGGCTCCTGATCTGAGACGAGACGCCAGGCGTTAAGTACCAGCCGCTCCGGAGCGCGCACAGTTGTTGAAGTTTGTCGCGGGGGCGCGCTCAGCACAAACCGAGAGCTGCACACATTTAAAAGGACAGAAATATTCCAAAGTTTATATATATATTTATATATATATAAATATATATGTACGAATCACTGCTCTCTCTCTAATATTATAATAAGAGATTATAATATATAATAGTACAGTATTATTATATATTATTTTGTTTTTGGTCAGACCCATAGGTCCACATTTGTAGGTCTGTAAAAAAGACACAGATATTCCAAAATAAATATATATATATGTATATATAAGCATGAATCAGTGACTTATAGCTCTCTCTCTAATATAATAATAATAATATTACATTATTATTATATATTATTTAGGTTTTGGTCAGATCCCTAGGTCCATATTTGTAGGTCCGTAAAAATGACACAAATATTCCACAATATATATATATATATATATATATATATATATGCATTATTCAGTGACTTACAGCTCATTCCATGCTTTAATATTGTTTTATTATATTATATTATTAGTTTAGTTTGGTGGTTAGTTTTTTTTCAGATCCATAGATTCATATTTATACGTCTATATAAAATGACTCAATGATTCCAAAATAAATATATATGTGCATGAATCACTGACTTACAGCCCATTCCATGCTTTAATAGTTATATTCGTTTATTTGTTTTGTTTCAGATTCATAGATTAGTATTTGTAGGGCTATAAAAATTAAATCAAATAGTGCCCATATTAAATTCAAATTCACAAATTCACCATCTAGTTTTTGTGTAATCCTGCAAACTAACAAACAAACACAAATTAAAACATAACCACGTTAATGACAGAGGTAATAATGACAGAATACAGAACGAAAACACATAAATACAATCATCAACAAACAAACAAAGTGTGATGCTTGTCCCTGTTCAACACTAATGACTTACGTTATTTAGTTTGCTTTGACTCCTCTGATTCCCAATCAGTTTATTTAACAGAGTTTAACCTTTAACCATCTGTGTTGTTTTGTAATGTATTTAAACCCAAAAAAATCAAGTAACCACTTTAATGCCTCCAGGTATTCTAATTGAGTATTTTAATGATATTTCATTTGATCAGCAAATTACAATAATGTGATTTAAGTTTTTTCCAAAAAAGTGTCATCAGCAGTTCAGAATGAGGCCCTGCCATTCAGTCTCCATGCTGCCGAGCATACATGTAACTGGGTGAGATTAAGATTAAGATTAAGAGGATGTGTCGTTTCTTCCATAGTAATCTGGACATAAGGGAGTCCCCCACCCCCCACCCCCGCTTGACACTATCAGGAGGGGAGAGAGAGAGAGAGAGAGAGGGAGGGAGTGCAGGGTGGGGATGGGAGGGGCTGGGATTACACAGAAGGATTGGTTATGTAAATGCATTGTCCCAGTAGACAAGCGGCAGCCGGAGCTCATGGGAGGGCGAGAGAGGCTCAGACAGCAAGAAAAGTGAGAGAAAGAACAGACTTTTGTGAATATAATCCTATTGGCCTCTCTGGAGCCGTGGCTTTAGGCACTGTAAGAATACCTCTTACTGTAATCACACAGAGACCAAGAGCTTTTCATTACATCTATTAACCCACCGCCTCTTACTCTGAACGTACTGTACAAACTAAACCACATTTATTACACAGAGGGAATATTGCAATGTATACGCAGAGTATTCTAGATATACATAGTTGAATAATAAGTCTGAGACCGTGAGCCTCCCCTCAGACTAAGTTTAGTTCACGTGTTTTGTGGATGCCTGTTCTATCCTGATCACATTATTTGATGATTTCTGAATACACTGAATACAGACAAAGAACAAAAATACACATACATACATAAAAAATGTTTCTTGTGATATTTATTGATTACAATCTTCCCTACAACTACTGTATCTGAAATCAAATACAGATTTAGGTCATTCTACATGAACTCCTAATGTGTAATTGATTTGGCCAATGCTGCGTTCATGTTTAACCTTGTTTACTGGACCATATCACTCACTGACCGACAGTGTTCATGAGCCCAGACAACAGGACTGTGCCTACAGAGGTCTAAAAACACAAACCTGCATTAACACCTTCAATAATGATGTAATCAAATGTCCAGTTTTTTCGCTCTGATTCCCTGAGCCTCCACTGAAACTGGGCAGAGACCCCCTCCCACTTTGAAAACCTCTTATGTCGAGTATGTTGCCTCCTGATCCAATATAAGGATTTAAATAACACCTGTTTTTCTGGGCAGACAGAATTCACCACGTCATAATATTAGCAAGCTTTTTTTTGCCACGACACTTGATCCAGCCTGAAATATCACCAAAACAACGGATGGACCATTAAATGTTGTGCAAACATTCGAGGTGCCCAGAGGATGAACCCTAGTGACCAGCATGGGGCTGTAAAATACCTCAACAGTATCCAGTTTTATTTCTCAACATCAACACGATCTGTTTCTAGAAATTCATAATAGTAACAATTGGTGACTTCTACTATGGTAGCATATGCTGCTGATGTTAGCATTTAGCACAAAGTTAAACAGGTCGTCAGTGACCAGTTGGTTCCTGCCAAGGAGGTTTTTGCCGCTGTCCAAGAACAACTGAACAAATTTGCATGAAACTTGCTGGAAGGACGGAGGATGGGCCAATAAAGAACCAATAAAATGTGTTGGGGGCAGATCCAGGAATTTTTCATCACGGTTTCACCTTTTCAATGATTATTTAGGGAATATTTCATAGATCTTTCATAGAGCTTGCACATGTATGGTAAAAAGATTTGAAATTGAAGCTGCTTCAGGCAAATCAAGGCATGAAAAGTCATCAGTAACATCATTTCTGAAAATTGAAAGGTAACCAGCAAAGCTATACCGGGGTTGGTGTAATGTGATTTCATTTCTAGCTTTAGTTTGAACAAGCCGAGGGCAAGAGAGAGACTCTCAACTCTGCTGCAGGACAGTGAAATCCAGCAGGAATATGAGACGGGTGCTCAGAGAGGGCATTCCTCCACGAGGGCTGATTCTCTATCTTGTCACGTTACAGTAAATGAAAACAAATTCCTGCATCTGCCAGAAATTGGAAGGGTTCTTTCTTGGGTCATACCACACCCCTAAACAAAATCTCATGGATATCAGTTGCGTGGTTTTGGCATAACCCTCTGGTTCTGGTCATATGGACCAATTATGAGGATCTTACTGTTTCTGTTCTTCAACATGGAAAAGTCTTTAAATGTTCGGCTGTAAATGTGTTAAAGAAAGTCACAAAGTGACACTGTTTCCTCAGAATGATGAGAAAAATGAGGCAAACGAAGCAGAAGAAGGAAACAGCAGGGTACGGGACAGCAAGGAGTATGTGGGAGACGGGCTGAGGGGAGAGAAGGGAGAGGAAATGGGGAGATCCAAACCCGAGAGAATGTTAAGCTGTGCTGGTATGCTGCAGGAATTTGAATTTCTCGGTTGGACATAACAACGTACATTGCTGTTTTATTTGAAAGACAGATACTGAAAGGAAAATGGGGAAGGAAGAAGAAGAAGAAGAAGAAGAAGAAGAAGAAGAAGAAGAAGGGAGATGTAGTTAGAGGAGGAAAAGAGAAGAGAGTTTGAGAGAAAGGGAGGAAGGAAGTGTGGAGACAGGGATGATGGATGTGAGAGAAGAGAGGAGAAGCAGAGACAGAGGGTGGAGGGGAAAGGTGAAAAGAAAAGAGAGGGAGAGGAAGAAGGTGGTGAGGGAGGATCGCTCACAATCAAATCATCAGCACATTCCACACATGATGTCTGGCAGTGGATTCTTACACTGATGCAGAATCTCTGCAGTGGATTCCTCAGGCGGCTCCTGGAGGAAAGTTAGCGAGCTGCTGTTTCCAGGTTATGAGTTCTGCATTTTGTCTTGGAAATCAGAAGTAACCATATTTGGAGGAGCAGGGGGTGGAGTCTGACGCTGCACGCCCCCATCTACACCTGCGATCTGCACGGTACTAGCTGTCAATCACGTATTTGACTCTAAATGGGGATCGTCGTTTACAAAATGAAAGAAATGCTTATGTAGACCCAAAATGTGTGCACGTGAAAACCTGTGCAAACACAAAACCAAACTCTCAAGTATTCGCAGGGAAACAGTGACTGCGGTTCCACGAGTACAGGGCGGAGTCTTGGTGAACTTGCCCTTCCATTGGTTCTCACGACTGCTCAAACCCGCCCGAAATCCGAAAACCTTCGCTCAGCGTGGGATCTGTGTCTCTCACTTGATGGAGAGAGATAACACAGGTTGTGATTCGGTGGCGAACAAATGAAATGGAACAGATCAGACTGAGGGCGGAGGTTAAGGTGGGTGTGGTCTTTCTAATGATGTGACCAGGGACCATCTTGTGTCAAGGTGACAGCAGCGTGTTCACCAGTCCACCCCGAGAGAACTCATTACAGTCGTTACTACATTATTACATAAGCACTCATGAGTCACACCAGGACACATCTGTAAACTCAGACTTCATGACAGACAGACACACAGACAGACAGACAGACACAGACACACAGACACACAGACAGACACAGACAGACAGATAGACAGACACAGACAGAAGACACACAGACACACAGACACACAGACAGACACAG